TCCCTATTTCCTACCCCCATGACCTACGTGGGGTCCTCTTGTTGCCAATTATGTCATTCTCTTTCTAGAAAGCATCTGAGGTGGCAGCCAATACAGAAACACATATAACAAGCAGGAAAACGTACACCCACAAAACCAGTGTGGAGACAGCAAGTCAGCCCCGATGGCTGATGTGGGGTGCATGAGATGCAGGAGTGCAGGGCACAGGTGCCTACTTGGGTAGGGCTGCACTCCCGGCTCCTGATGGGAAAGTAAAATGGGAAGGACAGCCCATCACGTAACTCTCTCTTCCCCTTTCAGGTCCTCAACTGGGATAAAAAACCACGCTGGTGCTGAATGACGAGACAGCTGGAAACGTGAGAGGAGGGAGGACAGTGAGACCGGCCCAGCAGCCAAGCCCACCACCTTGTGAGCAGACCCGGAAGAGACAGTGCCGGACCACCAGGAGTGTGGTGTGAGGTGTGGGATGCAGGGAAGGGGCAACGTGCTCAGTTCAGATGGATTCTTCTACAGACCCAGACACCTTGCTGCTCTGAGAACTCTCCTTAGCTTGTCACATACCTGGTCGAGCTTCGGTATTATAAAACAACATTTTTCACAAACTCGGAACCTTGCTACAGGATTTCCTTAAAGCCACACTTCGAACAAGACAACGTTAACCTGGGGCTCCTCCTAAATGCTTGCAAGACATGCCAGCCCTGCTGAGCCCCAGAGAGATGGCAGACCCTGGCTGATAATGGCACAAATGCAGAGTGTGTGTCACTGCTCAGGAGGGCAGAGGAGCTTGTGCTGCTCCGGGGACACCTTCTCATTCACTAAGAAGGCCCATTTAGCCGGCTGCTCGGCAGGACTGCTAATGTGGAGGGCGGGCTGAGGGTGCCTAGTATCTACCACTGCTGCAGGAAATGCCTACAGAAGACGACGATGCTCTTCTGACAGACAAAAGTTCCTATTTTTGATATCTAGAGGAGTAGATGGTATATTCGGGCTAGCATGTGGCACGACGTTAAGGGTGCTGGACTCCCACATGGTCGACCGCGGTTCGAACCCTGGACCTGGCAGCTTGCTTTCTCACTTTCTCTCTCTCTCTCTATCCCTCTTGGTCAAATTTAAATAAATAAAGTTTAATAAAATAATTCTTAAAAAATGTATTTGGTATATTCATTTTTACCTTTATTTTTAAAAAGCCATTTTGGGGCCAGCAGGTAGACAATGAACTACCACATGGCCAACTGCGGTTTGAGTCCCAGACTTGGTGGCTTGGTTTCTCACTTTCCTACTCTCTCTCTCTTGCTCTGTCCCTTTCTGGTCAAATAAAAATAAATATATAAACAAAGTTAAATAAAATAATTCTTTTTAAAAAATAAAATAAAAAGACATTTGAATGAGATTGTAACACAGAGGCCAACTAAAAGTCAAGGAAGCGTGCTTCCTTAGCCTCACATCCCACAGAAATGCCAAGCACTGGGCTTGCTGGTCTGCAGGAGGGTCCGGCCACGCATACTGTTACCTTTACTAATTTCCAAGTCCACAGGGTATTCGATATTTTTGATAAGCTTCTGACATCCACCAGTCTTCTCGTAAACAAATCGCTTCAGGTGCAGCACGAGAACAGGAGGGAGTTTTTCCAGAGTCACTCTTCGACTTATCTCCACCTGGGACACAGGACACCGGACACAACGCCGTCTTACTCAGGACAGCAGGTGCATTGTCGTCTCCACCTCCCATGCAGAGCGCCTGAGAGCTGATGGCTTGGAGTCCCATGGCGGGGCTCCATACCCTCTCCTGACACCCCCTTGGGAAGAGCACGCACCGCGCCGGCTTTGTGCCTGTGGTCGGGGCAGCCGAGTCCCACGTGGCCAGCCCCCACCTCTGCTTATGTACCGGATCTCACAGGAGTGGTAAGACGGAGGAGGGACTGCAGTGTGGCCAGTCCGTAGGATGCCCGCTCTCGTGCATTCTCTCCCTGGCAGACGCATGTGCCCTCTGGCACAACATTCAAAAGAAAGAGCACACGCCCCATCTACGACACTGCAAAGGGTCCCTAAAGCCCATCTGTGAATTCTAAGAACTTTGCTCTGCAGCATTAATGACTCATCAGCATGAAAATTAAAAAGCTAACTTAGTACCTTAAATCATATATTAACCTGTTTTATAAAAGCTCCGATAATCCTGATAAAACCAATGCCAGTATAGTTCTTCAATTAGATACATTAAAGATCCCTAAAGCTATTTTAACCATTCGTTTTGTAACAGTTTAGTTTCAACAAGTGAATGTGCCCTCTGAGTACGTTCAGGGGGTAACAGGTGCTGCTTTTACAGAAGTTAGACGACCTTACAGACTTGGAGAGGGGTGAAGAGACACTGGTAATGGCCTCAGTCTGTGACAACTCACTGCCTCTGCTGTTACAGTGGGCACCGCAGTGTGCCCACGCCCACCAGGACGTTGTGGATAGGCGCCAAGTGTGAGCGCGGCTCCCAGGTACCTGGAAAGCGGGACTGGCACTCTAGTCCTCTCGTCTGCAACTGCGGGGAGCTGTTGGAGACTACCGACCTATGATTCTAGCCGTAAAACCATCAGTCAATTTATTAACATGACTGACCTGAAATGCTTAAAGATGCGCTCTGCTTCTTCAGACAAATCAAGGCACAATGTCTGGTCACCTAGTAAAACCGGAAATTCCTACACAGCGGGTCTTTAGTAGACTCCTGCTGTCCCATGGCCCTTCTTTCACATATTCCTACTGCAGGGGCCATGCTGTCCTTCACGTGGAACGCAGCCTCACAACAGGACAGCGCCCCCGCTTCCAAAAAAATAAAGAGGACGGTGACAGGTCTCCACACCAGATACTGCTGTTACTCTGTATGGACCGCTTCACAACAATGCTATGAACCGTTCAAAAACCCACCCATACCTAGCCTGCTTCACCTCTCCAACGCATCTTCCCAAACCCACCGCCAAACTAACACGCAGTCCAGAGTGCTCACTGCCAAGCAGAGACAGGCAGAAGCTCCACGCACGGTGGCCAGGAAGTGCTGCCTCTCGGCCCCGCTGGGCTGGACTGTTGCTACTTAACACTGGAGGGCGAAAACACTGAGTCTGTGCCTTCTTCGGATCAACTCAGAGTCACAGCCTGATGGACAATGACTCGACACTGCTCAAAGTCCTTGAAGATCTACAACTGAACATGCAACAGGTGTGTCTGCACTCACTCTCAGGTCTTAGCTAATCTATAAAATCTGTGCTCCATGACACCCTGGTTATGAACAGGCTCATCCACCTCAGTGACCCCAGAAGAGACTGTATGATGTGATTTGATTGTCAGAAAATGCAATGTAGCTCGGCATAGATAATCGGAAGGAGAGAGCCACCACGTGTTACATGATGTGGGCTCAAAGAGGTTGCTGGGATCACTTGATTTGACCATTTCATTCTAAAAATGTGGAAACTCGTTCAGAAAAGTCAAGCAATTCATTTAAGAGGCAGAATGCAAACTGACTCCCTCATTCCCGCCTGTGTTCTTCCCACCCAACCAGAGGGCCTCCCTGCAGAGGTCCACGTCACTCGGAGTACCTCCTGCTTGGTTTTGGTGGTGTAGCCCTGCACAGACTCCCTTGCCACCAGGCTCTCCAGTGCATCCTGGACTGTGCGGATCTTGTCAGACTGGATGTCCAGCTGCAGCGTGAAAAACGGCTGCAGGGTGGCGGATTCTTTTGAACTCTGCTGGTACACCACGGATCTAAGAATTGAGAGCAGAAACAAAAACTTTGAGAGGCCACACCTTGCCACTCTGTCTTAAGCTTAACCAATGAGAGAAGAGGAATAAACACTGAATATAAGATTATTCAACATTAATTTCAGAAGACAAGAGAGAAGGAAAAAGTCCAAAGCATACTGAATTCAAAAATTATTCTGCTAAATACTACCTTCCAAAACATGTCCACCAACTAAATCTACTAGCTGATAAATTTTCCCAACTGTAGTGCTCAGGAAAAAAAACGTATTTCATCTTCTAAATCCTTTGACCTCTCTGCCACACTGTGATCTAATGCACCAGTAGTGAATGTGGCTATCTTGCCAGTACCCTAAAAATGCTGATACGTTTCAATTCGTCTAAGTATCAGAGCCTGTTAATAAAATAGAGGAAATCCCAAGATAAACAGAATATTTTAATGGCATTTTCCTCTATAAAAATGAGTTACAAAAAGAAGAGGAGTAGGGTGTGTATCATTAAAAAACAAGCTCACATTCCAGGAAAAAAGGCTGCCATTCTTCCAAAAAAGAGTGCCAATTCAGCCATGTTTTCTTAGCTGGTTTTGCATTTTTTTTTTCCCTAAATCTTTCTGAATAAAAATCGTCTCGTTTAACCTCAGCAAGAAAAATATTCCAGGAGATTAGCAAGGGATTCTGTCTCTGCAGTCTGAGCGACCCAGTTATAAATGGGATAAAATGGGTGTGGGTAGGTGTTCAGGCTTTCCAGAGCAGACGCTGTGAAGCCACAGTTGCTAAAGAATTCCCCGTCTAGGATGCGGTCCCCTGCTCCTGAGCGTGGAGCCTTCAGTGATGGCCACTCCCGTGGCTCCAAAGAGGAGCTAAAGGAGCAACAGCAATGGAGGCCAGTGGAGGAGCCCAGAGTGGCCCTCTTGTCTCCAGGGTCCTGTGGTTTAGCAAAAGCATCCCAGGGACAAAAGCGGAAATCTGCGCATCTTCCTGGGGAAACTGAAAAACACCTAAAGAAGGCTGAATTTTATAAGCAAATCTTTTAAATAAATTATCAGAATTCTTTATCTTTGCTTTTCCATTTTTTGAAAAGAATCAACAATAACCAATTTTAATGAGAAACCCCAGACACTGAGGCTAGCAGCCATGATGGACCCATTCAAGGCAAGCTAGCAATTTTTTCCAAAGTAGATTCTGGTGCTTCCATTGGTTATTCTGTCATCTCCGGGTATGAGGTGCCCATCTGTGCCCTGAAGTTCTGACTCCATTTCTGCACATGTGGTCCTGGCTACCTGCACTACACTGAAGCGGGCCATTCCACTCCGGGGCATTCCCACAATCTTAACATCAGGGTCCTACGCTGCTGGACATAGCTACGGACAACCCACATCTCTGGTTCTCCTGCCCACGTGGCACATTCCAAGGTTGAGGCTGGCACGCCAGACACGCCACAGTTCCAGAACAGAAAGCGGTCAGAGCCTAGGCACAACGTGTCCCAGGTCACGTGTGCTTGACTGGCTTCTAAATGCAGTTGTGCATAGGCTCTAAACTAGCTTGAGGAAGTCCATGCAACTTTCCTGAAGTTTTTATTTGCCTGCTGAAAGTTGCTCAGTCTCTGCTGTTTTACAACAGAGAGACTGAGCCAACTCTGAGGTCTTAAAAAGGGTCTTGTTTCTTTTCAGACAAGCAGCATTTGGGACAGCGACAGACCTCCGGTCTCACTGAGACACCACAGGTGGAGAGGATGCTGTGGGGCCTTCAGAGGGGAGGCCGTGCTATAACAAGGTCTTCTGACACTTGTGCTGAGTTGTCCTCCCAGGAGACGGGGTAGGTTTTACTGAGCTCCATGTCACAGGGGTATGACAGGCTCTAGTGCGAATACATAAACACCTCTAGAAAGACTTCATGGATAAGCAAAAAGCTGGTTTTAGGTGCTGGGCCCGAGCAGGGACCAGGGACTCCAGCCCAGGCCATGTGTCCTCCACTGCACAGTGGCGCTCCCGCCGGCCCCTTCCCTCTCTAGCTCACTACGTTCTCAGGACCAACATCCCCAGATGGCTCAAGGAGCCTAGACGCTGAAGCGACCTAAGCGCCACCAGCTGAAGACGGGCCACGAATGGGCAGCGTGTGCTCGTCCACACGCTATGAGTATCAATTAGCCATAAAAAGGAGGCTGCTGTTTCCACACGGATGGGCCCGGAGGACACTGCGCTGTCTGAGACAGGACAAGGAAAGAACAAAACAATACCATCTTACTATCTGTGGATCAGCACACTGGACTCCCACATGGTCAACCATAGTTCAAGTCCCAGGCCCAGCGGCTTAAAACTCACATGGAGTGCGTGTGTATGCATGCCCAAGATCCCGAGAGGAAAAGGGATTATGGTGTGACCATCCCCTCAGGGGGGTGACTTAGGCTTTCTGTCTCTTTCTCTCTGCCTCTCTGGCAAGCACACACACCCTATCACAAAAATCTCTCAAAAAAACAAACAAATGAAAACGAAAAAACAAACAGGGTCAGGCCAGCTCATGGCCTGATGGTTGGGGAGTTGCAAGATTTAAGACTTGGATCCAATGGCTCGAGAAGCCACCAGGCGTGTGTGCACGCATGCTCAAAACCCCGCTGAGGGGTAGACAGAGGAGAAGGGACTGAGGTCTGACTCTTACGTGTGGAGGGCAGTGCTTTCTTTCCCTCACTGTCTCTCTGCCTCTCTCTAGAGAGTGGACATGCCTTCTGATAAATTTTTTTTAAATATTAATAATAATACAGAGTCAAATACACAGAATAAATGAGTGGTTACCAGGGCAGGGTAGGCGGGAAGAATGGGAAGGGTAGGTTCGAGGACACAGAGTAACGAAGATGTGGCAAGGTCAAGCCTAGAGATCTAAGTCGGAAGCAGCAGCCTGGAACAGACTGCCACAGCCGAGGCTGACTCTGCGAGGTGACAGATGATGGACCTGCTAAGTTGCTTACTGCGGTAACCACGGAACTGTCTACATCCAGTAACACTGCCCCGTGCGCACTGAATACACACGACGTATTACAATGAACAAACAAGATGCTTCCAATCAGATACATGAATTGCTCCTCTTAAGGAGTTCCACTCATTGCTTTTCTCTCACCACCTAGCAGTGAGCAGGAAGAGGAGTGAGGGGCTCCGTGGCACTGAGGCCCTGGAGAGCAAGTCCCCACGGGAACACTCAGCAGCTCTTAGGAACACAGGGGTGGCAGAGGAGGCGTTAGGAAGTGCAGGTGGGGGAGTAAAAGCAAACCACTGGTCACCAAGTCACATTGGGCCCCTCCAGCAAGATGGTGAGACCTTGAACAAGGCAAATACCACATGGTTCCAGAAAAGTACGAACCTGATGTGCCCACCAAAAATGCCGGTGATGGGCGTCTGGACGAACTCTGCCTGGCGGGTGACGGACGACTTGTTCCTGGGGCCCACCTGCTCCCACTCCTCCTCACTGCCTGCACCCTGTTCTTCCTGCTCTTCCTCGCTTACCGAGTGGCTTTTGGGCCCATTGGAAACGGGAAGTTCTGGAAAGGAGAGAGTTTGCTTAGGCCACTACTGACAAAAGAACGGCAAGAAATAAAAATGACCAAAGGGTCTGTGTGACCGCCTGCTGAGACCTGTCAGCTGTAGTTACTGCCGAGAGCAAGGTGTGCCCTGCACAAGGGTCCCAGGAGCTGGCGCTGACAGGCCCTGTGGGTGTCGGCTGCTAGGAGACACCCTGTCCTGGAGGCCTGAGACAGTGAGGGCGAGGCTGGAAGGCAGGTCTTGCTGGGGCTCATTGTGGGTGCAGCTGGCTTTCTCAGACAAGGGACATGATTATAGGGGGGTGTCCCTCTCCTCAGAAGACATATGCTCTGGCATGGCGTGAATGAATCCGTTATTTGCAAGTTAAGGACAATGTGGCATGGGGAGCATGTATGCAGAAAGAGGGGCACAGGACACCCGGCCACTCCAGGCCCCAGCAGTTACAAAGTACTCGTGAGCCTGTTCCTTCGGCTGCCCTGGTCAGTCACCTTCATCAAAGCCCAAGGAAAACCGCAGAGGTTCTAAGTTTAGTTTTGATTTATCTACTGAATAAACAAACCGCTCTCAACGGCATATAAAAGGCAATGTTAAAATTACTACAGAGTTATTGGGGGTCAGCAAATGGCATAGTGATTACGCCACTGGACTTCCCCATGGCCAACTGCAGTTCGAATCCCAGACCTGGTGGCTTAAAGATCATGATGGGCGTGTGTGGCATGTGTGCCCAAGATCCCGGGAGGAGAATAAAGGAGAACGGACTGAAGTGTAGTCACCCATCCCTCCTGGGGGGCGATTTCTCTCTGTCTCTCTCTCTCTGCGTGGTGAGCACACGTGCCCTAAGGCAAAAAGCTCTCAAAACACAGATGAATTAGTGAATGGGAAAAAAGACAACTATCTGGATGAGTAAATGAGTTGTGAAGGTCAAATGGACCGGAGGGAGGAGCAATTAGCACATGAGCATGAAACATTATTTTAAATAAGAAAATATTCTCCACAATTTCGTAGCAAATAGATCATAACCTACTTTCATTACTTGGTGAGAGAAGCTTCTTTAGGTTCAACATTTCCTCATGAAGTCCATTTAGAATGAAGCCTAAGTACTCCTCAGCGTCTTCCTGTCGACCCTAAAAAGGTCAAACACAACGGTGACGTAACTGACTCCGGGCCGTGGCCTGCGGTACACGCAGCAACTACACGTTCAAGCACTGTTTCCTCGAAACTTCCACGAAGACTTAACATAAAGCATTTCCTAAGTATGACAAGAGTTTCTCTTTGGACAGCCGAGACCCCAAAGGGTGGGCTGGAAGGTGAAGAACAGATTAAACATATATATCTAAGTGGAAAAACTAAAGAAGAGGTTTCATTTTATATATGCTTTCCTGCGTTTTTGAAGTTTTTTACAAAATACATTTCCTAGGATACATCGCTATACCCCAAAGGCAGTCAGTGCATGGGGTGGCCCCCAAAATGATACATTTTAGAAGCTTAAAACTTGGGACCAGCAGGTGAAGGTGCTGGACTCCCATATGACCAACTATGGTTCAAATTCTGGTCCTGGCAGCTTGCTTTCTCATTCCACCCCCCCTCCTAGGTCTCTCTGGTCAAATTAAATAATAATAATAATAATAATAATAATAAGTTAGATCATTCTTTTTAAAAAATAAATTAAATAATTTTGGGGAGGGAAAAAGAAGCTTAAAATGTGGCCCAGCTGTGTAGTGCATGCTGGCAGGCACTGCTCCTGGCAGGAGAGGCTATGGGCAGGCCTGGTTGTGTCCTGGCCGACCCTGAACAGCAGGCCCGGTGGTGCACACGTGCAGCCCCAGCTGCTCCGGAGACTGAGACAGGAGGACCGTGACTGAACCAAGCTTGAAACCCTACGCTGCCCCTGGTGGCACCCTGCAACACCGCCCATCTGCTACTTCACCTCATTTAAGCATTTTCTTCACTATTTTTCTCTCTGAATAAGTCTCCCTAAGCAGCACTTCAAATGCTTGCACTGGTTCATCACAAACTCGGTCAACGAAGAAGTGCTCTGGCTAACTGAGCTAAGGCTGCCCTGGTTCACTCTCAACCGCTCTGGGCCTCTTTATAAACCCTCTTGGTTCCAGGCCTTTACTAGCAAAAGGCACAATAAGAAACCTAAGTACAAGAGCCAAGGACATCAAACAGCTAGTACGGCCAACGTCACGGCAGCGGAACTTCCAATACTGCCATCACGCCAGGCCCAGGCCACGCCAGCCTACCCAAAGGTGGTCAGTGCGGGGCTGGGAGAGCTGCCCTGAACTCCAGGCCCTGCTGGTGATTAGCTATGGCCTGGACAAGAGCTGCACTTGTCCCGACCACGACAAGACGCGACGCCAGTATCATGCTTGATTCGCAGGGCCAACCGAGTTAGGACACAGAGCACGTGGGACAGTGCTCAGGACACAGTGAAAGAAAGCTGGGCTAGCTCTGACCGTGAGGGCTGCTGTCACACCCCAAACCCTCCGAGCAGCTGACTCCATAGTAACCCTCGCTCTGCTACTGAGCCCCCACCCCCCAAAGCTCGGAGGGGGGCAGTGCCCACTAAGCAACGGGTACCAGACGGGGGGGGGGCGCTCCCCACGGGCCAAA